CATTGTAGTACCTTCATCCCTAATAATACTGCACCAGATGGAAGCATCACCAAGGCCTTAGAGGGTCTGACTGCGTTATCTGTAGAATTGGCTGAAAATTCTGGCATTAATGATCCCTTCTCTGACTTATGGTCACATTGGTTTGGAAAATGGAGTGGCTTAGTCACATCCGGCTTAGTGTCTGTAGCTTTATTTGCAGCCATTCTAGTTCTCTGCAGCTGTTGCTGCATCCCCTGTTGTCAGAATCGGCGCGCGTAATGCGGCCGAAAAGTGTTGTGAACTCAATTAAATGGCCAGATGAGGAAGTGTAAAACAAAAACCGTCTCTTTATTAAGAGAACTAAAACTAAACAAAAAACCATACAAGACACGGTGGAAACAAAAACTCACGGTCAGTATCGGTCCCAGGTCAGAGCCAGCAAACAGTACATCCAGGGGAATCCAAAGTGCGTAGTCCATAGGGAAAGTCCGATAAGCCGATACACATAAGCAGTCCGAGATAAGAGGGCAAGGCAGAACAGAGTAATCCAAAAAAACAGTTCGAGTCAGAAACACCGAAAACCGAATATAGTGCTGGAAAGTCAGAGCTGGGGTCTAGAACAATCTGGCAGCGTCCTTGTGGGAGGACGCTGCCTAAATAGAGGTGTAAACAGGTGCACATAATAACGAAGCAGGTCAAACTAATGTGAGTGATGAAGAACGTAAAAAGGCCGAAACTAAGGTGAAACAAAAACAGGAAGTAATGTCAAAATAAAAGCCGGACAGGAAGCAACGGAACCGAATCGTGACACCCTGTATTAGACAATTGTGCACCAAATGCATTACTAGAGCCATAGACTCAAAATATTCTACACCTCCTCCATATCAACTCTCTGTTGGCCTCAGAGAGCGCACCCTTCCCACAGCTCTTCATCTATAACGACACCTTAGACCTGGAGGACAAAGAAAACACCAGGCATTAGTCCCCTGAAACCCCTTTCATACAATTTTGCTAAGACTAACACATAATCCATATAGGGACACACACATGTACATAGCAGGCGTGATATTCTTAATATGGTTTAGTTAGTTTAGTGTAATTCCTAACTATTGTAGGACATCCTTACTGTTGATTGATTTTCCATTTTTCTGTTTGCCTTATTTGTTTGCTTTGCATTTTATCTTTCCATTTTTATGAAGATTGCTTTGTTTGTATGTCGGGTTTATCATGTTTATCTACCCGATAAATATGATTTAAACCACGATAGGGCAGCACCACGAATGCCCACCAAATCCTGAAGCTGAGATATTAAAATGTCTTGGTCAACCATGTCAAAGGCGGCAGTCAAGTCCAACAGGACAAGAATCACATATTCACCCCCATCAGTGGCCAAATAAATATCATTAACAACCTTCAATAAGTCAGACTCTGTACTATGCAGAGTTTTAAAACCAGATTAAAAAACCTCCAATATTCTCATCTAGGTAGGATTTCACCTGTGCATAGACCACTTTTTCCAAAATCTTTGAAATAAAAGGCAACTTTGAAATGGGCCTGAAATTACTCAGTATGGATTGATCCAGACCTGGCTTCTTGAGCAGAGGCTGCAGAACTGCATGCTTGAAATTATCAGGGACAGTACCAGAGAACAAACTAACAATATCCAAAACCGTCCTTCCAATACAGGGGAAAACTTCCTTAAATAAAGCTGGGGAAACAACATCGCGAGGGGAGCCAGATGGCTTAGCCTGGGCAACCACTTCCTCCAAAAAAGTCAGAGTCACCGGCAAAAATGCATCAAAAATAGCCAAACAAGGAGCATAAACTGAAGGATCAGGCGCTGACCCTAACACAGGCGCCCTTGTAGCAGCCACCTTCTCATTAAAAAAAAAGATAAAAACTTATTACATAGTTCAACCGTTGCGTCCAGATAAACAGACTGCAGGGGATTTAAGACTGTCCCTAATGTTTTATATAACACACGTGGATTATGGCTATTAGCTACAACAATACTGGACAAATACTCTTGCTTGGCTTCTTCCACAGTCCTCTGATAGTTGCACCAACAGTCCTTCAAAATTTGAAGTGAAACTTGCAGTCCATACTTCTTCCACCTTCGTTCAGCTCTGCGGCACGTCTGTCTGGCCACATGAGTTCTAGTGCCAAGCCAGGGTTCCCTCCTAGCCTTAGGCAGCACAGTTTTCATTGGGGCCACAGAGTCCAATATATAGGTGCAAGAGGAATGAAACCAAGCACTAAGACCCTCTGTATCCTCAGCAGCCATGTCAGCATGAACAATTGCCTGGTTGAATGCTGTGGCAAATAAGCCAGCAGTGGATGGGTTCAGTGTCCAACAGCGCCAAACAGGCACCCACAATGTACCCACTGCACCAAACAATTTAGCCTCAAAAACAATGGGCATATGATCAGAAAAAACATTCATACAGGCATTTAAATTTGACACAG